GCTTCTCCTGGTGCAAAGTGTGCTAAATTGTTGAACGATGCACAGTGACACCATCTGCAGGTTTTGGAGGTGATCTGTGGGTTTTCCTTGACCATTCTCACCATTCTTCTTCTCTGCCTCTCTGATATTTTTCTCTGCCTGCCACTTCTGGGCTTAACTAGAACTGTCCCTGTGGTCGTCCATTTCCTTTCTATGTTCCTCAAAATGGAAACTGAAGGTTTAAATCTCTGAGACAACTTGTTGTATCCTTCCCCTGAACGACTATGTTGAACAATCTTTGTTTTCAGATCATTTAAGAGTTGTTTTGAGGAGCCCATGATGAATCTTCAGAGATTCAAGCAGGACAACAACTTGCAGCCGGACAGGAAGAAACCAGGCTCAGTGTGAGCGACCATCTGCTGAGGCCGACTGGGGTTCATTTATTGATGTTCACTGATCATGTATGTCCTCGTCTGTCCTGCTGGTGTTTCTAAACATGGCGGACCTGCTGCGTAGGTCCAACCAGAACACAGCAGAGGTTAACCTCAGAGCTACGCAGCAGCTGCAGAGAACAGAACCATCAGATCCAGTCCATCTGCTGCTCACCTGTACTGCTCCAGCAGCTGCACCGCCTGGTGCTCCTGGGGATGCCTCCTCATGTGACTCTTCAGACTGTTCATGTTGGTGGTGGCAAAATCACAGCTGCAGCATCTGGCAGACAGAAGGAAGCAGGAAGAAGAACAGAGCTTGGTTTAAGGAGATTCCTTCTCAGGGTCACATTATTGATCCTTTTACACTTTAGGAAACCAAACAAACTGCAGCATGCTCTGCTGGGCTGTTCTGTCTGGTTCTGGTTGGAGGATGAGGCTAGCTTCAGTTCAAAGTCTGCAGACAGAGGCTACTGCACTCACGGCCATTCAGAAAAATGAGAAGGCTCAACCTGCTGCTGTGAAGCAGGATTCTCCACCATGAACAGAATATACATAAATATGGATCCAGGCTCAAAATGAGCACCTTGATATGTGCTTCAGAATGGCTTTGTTTCCATTCAAACCAGGTTTAAAGCCTTGCAGGGCAGCATAAAGCCCACTGCGAACATTAAGACAGGGGTCAGCAACCCAAACTGCTCATATTGGACCAAAAAATAAATAAATAAATAAATCTGTCTGGAGCTGCAAAAATGTAAGTCTTACGTATGCCTCGTATGGCACCACAGGCTTACAGCCTGTATTAGCCCACTATAGAAAAAGGACTATGTTGGCTTAAATATATAATAAGCATTCATGATTAAATGTTTATCCTGGAGCAAATGTCACATAGTAGCCTGAGACGAGGGAGGAGCTGAATTTTAATATGAATTAAAATATTATAATTACCATAACAATGTAATAAAACATGTCTATTACAGATACATCATCAGTTTAGCACTTTTGGCACATCTGTATTATTTGTGCTTCATTTAAACATTAATTTTATTGTGATTGATTTGTATAATATGTTATATTACATGATTTAGAGACTTCATTGGCTTCATAATGACTATGCAATGTGATTGGCCTGTTTTTTTTTTTT